GCACGCATGCTGGGAGAGGCTGGGTGATGAAAAAAAAAAAAAAAGTGATGAAATGTGAAGTTCGCGTCGGCAGAAGGACTGCCATATTTCCTCCCTACATATATTTCTGACACTGTTTTATTTCCCCTGGATCCAAGACTCATACAGCGAGGAGCAGCCGCTGCAATAATGTGGCACAGCAAGCTTTAGAAATCCAGTTCATATCATTCCAGAGGGAGTGTGTGTGTGTGTGTGTGTGTGTGTGTGCTGTACATTTTTATCACTGTACACATGAAAGCCGCCTAGTAAAACCATAAGGCTCTGTATTCAACATACCTCCATTATTTCTCCTAATTAACCTATGGGAATTAGTATTACATATAGAGAGGTTGGAGAAAAAGTGACTGAGAGAGAGAGAGAGAGAAAAGAATGAGTGTACATAAGGGAGAGAGAAATTGACAAAGATGAAAGTCTCAAGAAGAAGAGACAGAGAGAACGAAAGTTGGAGACGGAGACAGAGCAATTGCTGAGAAAAGAGAGAAAGACTCCAGGGCAGAAGTCACTCCTCCTGGCTGGGAGCCAGTGGGCGACAGTGGGCATCTCTGTGCCAGCTGGCAGCTTTTCCTCCCATCTGTAGAGGTGCAAAGTGCAGAGTGTGTGTTAATCTCAGAGTGTATGTTAATCTGAGCCAGCGTTGCTCAGATTTACACACACCTGCCAGCTGCTAGAACAGGTCTGATCCTGGCACGGCTTCACACTGTGGCTAGTAACAATAATCCATTCATTTTCAATACCGCTACACAGGGTCACGGGGACGCCTATCCCAGGGGACGCAGATGTCTTTGGACCGGGAGAGGAAACCAGATTACCCGGAGAAAACACGCACACAGAGTGCAGAGGCGGGAATCGAAACCCCAACCCTGTAGGTGCAAGGTGAACGTGCTTACCGCTAAGCCACTGTGCGTCCCTATATAAAAATTAAACCATCAGTGGGGCAGCAGGAAGCCAGGGTTCCCGGTTTAATCCTTCCCGTGTCTGCATAGGTTTCCTCTGCATGGGTTTCTCACCTCCAAAAAACATGCTAGTAGGTGGATTATAGGTTAAATTGTCCCTATTTGTCAGTGAGTACGTGAATGTGTGTGTGTGTGTGTATGATGTTCTGCGATAAATTGGCATCCGTGTCTTGCTCCGTGTTCCCAGGATAGACCCAGGATCCATCGTGACTGCATAAGGATAAAGCAGGTGCTACAGATGATATATTGACACACCCATTTAGTACTGGCCTTCAGAAGCAACATAAGATATTTACATGTTTCCCAGAAGACAAAATAATACTAATTTACACCAATCGTCCGGTTCAAAAGTTTACACCCCCCTGGTTCTTAATGTATCGTGTTGCCTTCTGGAGCATCAGTGAACGTTCGTACCTTCTGTAACAGTCGTGTACGAGTCCCTCAGACATCCTCAGTGTGAAAAGATGGACCTCGACATCATCATCATATAGTCACTGTTAGAAAGGGCTCAACTATGCAGAATATGCTGGAAAAGTAACGAACGTTCAGGACCTGGAGGATTTTTTCTGAAGAACGGTGTGTAGTTGAACTGCTCAGGACAAACAAGGGACTCGTGAACAACTCTCACAAAACATAAACACAGTCGCTGATCGTCCAGGTAACGACACACGGGATTAAGAATCAAGTGTGTGTAAACTTTTACACTCGTTCATTTCTGTAAATTCATTTAAACATCTGTTATGTGATACAGATTATTCAGGGCGGAACTAAATAAAAAACTAAACGTAATTTTAATGATTCTTCTTCTTTTTTTTTTTTTATTGTTAATACATTGCAGATTCTGCAAGGCGTATGTGAACTTATGACCTCATTTGTAAATATTTGAATAATATTGTGTGGGGGGGGGGGGACGGTTCACAAACTGTTTAACATGATGTCTGTTTCTATTCCCAGAATGAGTGATATCATCATCTGTCAAAGATTAGCGGCAATTATGTTAGACATTATCAATCTGCAAACCTATCCTATCCTATCGCCCAGCCATAATGATCTACCAATTATAATGAGTTTTTTGTTTGTTTGTTTGTTTGTTTGTTTTTGTTTTTACACATTTAGCACTTTAAATTAAATGTAGTCCTTCAATTAAGGAAATACTGAAACCATAGCTGGTAAGTTGAAAATCTGTCTCACCAAATAGATAGACAGATAGACAGACAGACAGATAGATAGACAGACAGACAGACAGACAGACAGATAGACAGACAGATAGACAGATAGATAGATAGATAGATAGATAGATAGATAGATAGATAGATAGATAGATAGATAGATAGATAGATAGATTGATTGATTGATCGATTGATTGATAAATCGATCAACCATTGACCACCTCTTGAAATCTTGAGGGAATTTACCCAAGAAGCATATTTTATTTTCCAAGTAGTTAAAAAAAATAAATAAATAAAATTAAGCCAGAAGATTTAAAAATTTAAACATGATCAGAAAAACTGTAATTAATATATTATTATTTATTCAATAATATAATTATTTTTTATTCAATTATTGTCTTATTTATCATTTGTACACAGCTGTGTAGCTTTCCTACTTATCCTGAACTCTATTAACGTATTTTTAACTGTAGTTCAGAGAAAACAGACAGTAAAAATTGCTGCAGAAATCAATTCAACTGATTTGCACCTCCTGCAAAGTGCTCCATCCTCTTAAAATAAAATGCATAGCTTTTCCAGGGATCTTCCCAATGAAATGGTTGACTGCAAAGCATGGATTTGTACATCTTATTATTTTTAAATTCCTGCTAACAGTTCTGGATTTTTAATAAGAGCAGGAAAAAGATCATAAAAGACTATTTACTGCTACTTAAAAATAGAATAGGCTATATAAGACTTTATGGATGTTTTATAAACCATATGAGAATCATTTTACTCTTGATTCAGTCAGCCAGTCTCATTGCTAGCAGCTCAAATATTATCTTTACTGCATGATAGCTATTTAATCACAAAGCTGATTAAAAGAAGACAGGGGGTCGAATGTTACGACCCATTTGATGGTACGGCTGTACGGTATTATGTGTAAATAGGCTTAGTGGGGGAAAAATTGCAGTGAACATGAGCAAGAGATCATTTCTATAATTATATAAGGATGTATTTGCAATACGTGAAAATACAGACACACAGAACTCCAGAGGATTAGCCAGGGCTAACGAACAAACTCCCAAAAGTAGAAACCTCTACTTAATAGGAATCAAAACAAGGTGAATGTTATAAGAGAGCGGAGGATAAAATCAAATGTCACAGGTGCAAATGACAAAATCATGTATGCAAAAAGCTGCAGCGGTCTGTTATGAAGCTTACATGAAGAACAAAGCCCCTTTTTTTTATATATATATATATAATTTGGGAAATAGAACCAGCTAGGGTGTAAGTTAGTTAGGGTGTAGTAGAATCTCAGTGGTTAAGATGTTGGACTACTGATCAGATTGTTGTGAGTGCAAAAAGTGCTCACCTGTATAATATTAGATAAATAAGTCGGTCAAGGATTTTGAACACAAAATCAAGCGAACCCTGCAAGATTTTTCAAACTGACCGCAGATTTTCTACAGGATCGGGTCAAGGGCGCGTCATGTGACGTCATCGACACGCAGTCAGCCAAGCCCTCTTTAATTCCCATGTGCCGAACATGAGTACAGCTAAAAGGTCCGATTTACCACCAAACATCACTGTGAAAGATCGTGCAAAACAATTTTGCGCAATTGCAATTTCGCCAATTCAAGAAAAAAAAAACAGCACAAAAAAATTCCACAATTGCACCGTAATTGTTTATATTTTCTTTTAAAGCCACAGCAAAATTGATCATTTTTTGTCACCTACAATCACAAAAAACTCTGCGTAATCCTGTGCAGACTAAATGTAAGTCGCTCCGAATAAGGCTGTCTGCCAAATACTGTACGTTTAGTTAGAAGAAGCACACACAAAAAAAAAAGAACTTCAGTAGCAGGATTTAAAAAATAATAATAAAAATCTCTAACAATGATTGATTGTGAACGTGTGTAGGAACTGTCACAATTTCATTTCTAGCTTTGTTTTTACAGATAGTGGCCTTGTGCTTTCCCTTTCAGTCATCGTTCCCCTTCGTTTGTCATAGCTCGGTCTCCCTTATGGCATTACATCAACCGACCTGTTAGAACACAGGCTTTTTCTCCCCCAGGCAAACGTTTTTCATAAAACAGCCGAGCATGTGTAACAGACATTCAAAAGTATCGACAATTACTCTACTCAAATGTGGAGAAAAGACGACTGTTCTTCCCAGTAATGCGTTCTTCGATGAACGTTTTGACTGCAGGATTTATTTACCAGTGATCGAGCTCCACCTTAGACAATCACGCCACTCAGAAGCCTTCTAACCTCAATTATTCTGCCTCTCGTAGGTCTTTGCTACTCCGTGTTGAAATGAAACTGAAAGTCGGGATTGCCCATGAACATAGAGACAGGTGACAAAATAAAGGAAAAAGCTACCTATTAAGTGTACTGGTATGTCTTGGGTCACCACGAGATACCATAGCAGCTTTAAAGTCTCTTGAAATCGACTCGACACATCAGTAGAACTGTACCGGAGCGGTGAACACCATTCATCCAAAAAGATATTCACTCAGTTGGTGTTTTGGCGATGGTGGTTGAGAGCAGCGTAACAGACCACTTTCCTTGTTCGTTTAATTTGTCACCATCTGGAAGGAAACAAAATGGAGAGAGAGAGAGAGAGAGAGAGAGAGAGAACTTTTAGTAGTCTGAACTTTTATGACTTCTTCAGCCTGTTATGACATAGAACTAAAACTGTTTGTAAATAAAATGCCAGTTCCATCTGTCGTCATGGCTAAGAACAGAGATCCCGCCCCTTTCTCGTGTCCAGTCAGTGGTATTTTTAACATCACTATGTGGTTCCTGAATGAAAGTAACATCTATTTTTTTCTGTTTAATGAGATCATACTAGGGCGCGCGGTGGCTTAGTGGTTAGCACGTTTGACTCACGCCTCCAGGGTTAGGGGTTCGATTCCCACCGCAGCCCTGTATGTGTGGAGTTTGCATGTACTCCCCATGCTGTGGGGATTTCCTCTGGGTACTTCAGTTTCCTCCTCCAATGCAAAGACATGTATGGTAGGCTAATTGGCATGACAGTGTGTGTGTGTGATTGTACTCTCTGATGGATTGGCACCCGGTCCAGGGTGTATTCTACCTGGGATAAGCTCCAGGTTCCACCATGACCCTGATGGATGAATGGAGTCCATTTTTGTGATGTCTCTAGCACCATTTAAGTTCAAACACATCCCTCGCCAGGTTCCTTCTCTGCGGAGGTCTCTGCCTCTGCCGAATGGACCCCATTCGGCGCTGCACTAATCGGCTCAGTTGCACTATTCCCATTGTCTCTGTTTGTTCTCTCCTTAAACGTTCTGTTTTTCCACATCCGAAGCACTTCTTTTTATCCATGGTCACGACGACCACATCATCAAAATCATCCACTCGAAAGTGTAACGCTAGATCTAATTTCACGATCATATACATGAAGTTGAGTCAAAATCTCGTCATTAGTAAATGGAGTCACATTAGATATAGTGACTTTCTCAGACGGCAATGAAAGAGGAAGAATGGGAGTAAGTGTTCGACTAGTTCATTCGCTTTTTCCACCGAGCTGAGAAAAACGACTGTCACGTTATTCGTTCTGGACGCTGAGAGAATACACCGATGACCCACTAACTTTCCCACGGCTAGGCAACAATCTTCCACACTCACAGTGGATGCCACCTTCACCCCATGGTGCCGCGTGAGAGACCCTAAACCCCATGCGTTCCTGAGCTCAGGTAGCAAACGGTTCAAAAAACATGTAAAAACAACCTGAATCTATCTACTCAATAATATTAAATACGTCTCCCAAAAATTAAACAAAACATTTATTAAATAAGGAAAGGGGAAAACCTTCATCAGAAGCACAAAGAGCTACACATGTGCTCACACTCACAGCACTCTCGCTCCCAGCATGCACTCAGAGACAGAGAGAGAGAGAGAGGGAGAGAGAGAGAGAGAGAGAGAGAGACAGAGAGAGAGAGAGAGAGAGAGAGGGGAGAGAGAGAGAGAGAGAGAGTGAGACAGAGAGACAGAGAGAGAGAGAGAGGGAGAGAGAGAAAGCATAGGCAGAGAGAGAGAGAAAACAGAGCGTGAGAGAAAGCAGAGGCAGAGAGAGAGAGCAGTAGCAGAGAGAGAGAGAGAAAGCCGAGGCAGAGAGAGAGAGAGAGAGAGAGAGAGAGAGAGAGAGAGAAAAGAGGCAGAGAGAGAGAGAGAAAGCAGAGAGAGCGAGAGAAAGCAGAAGGAGAGAGAGAGAGAAAGCAGAGGCAGAGAGAGGGAGAGAGAGAGAGAACAAGCAGAGAGAGAGAGAGAGAAAGCAGAGGCAGAGACGGAGAGAAAGCAGAGGCGCAGAGAGAGAGAGAAGAGGGAGAGAGAGAGAGAGATTTGCGTGTCATCCTTGCGCAGGGGCCATGCTAATCTTCTCAGAGAGAGAGAGAGAGAGAAAGAGAGAGAGAGAGTATTTGAGACAGGCTAGGAATATCAGTTCATTAAGTTTTCATATCTCAAATCTCAGATCAGTTACATAATAACCACAATGGAACGTGTCTGATTTAATTGTGGCAACACTTTTATTGATCCCGCTAAGCCCATTTTCCACTAGATTGTGTAATTTACTGTTTGGCTCTGTTATATGTGGGATTATACTATATAGTGTTAGAGAGAGAGAGAAAGAGAGAATTCCATCTGTCAGTTATGACTCACCCCTGTTGTGAATCCATGCACACACACACACACACACACACACACACACACACACACACACACACCTGCAGTATGTATCAGCTTTAAATGCTCATTTCAGTGTGTATACCCAGGTATGTATGCTAATGCATGCATGTGTGTTTACCTGCTTATGCGTGTGTGTCTGTGTGCACGGCCGAGGTGTTTACCTCAGTTTATAAAGGCAGTGGATGTGTGCAGATGAATAAACAGAGCTGTAATAGCAGGACTCTGTATTTATTTTTTATCTTAAACAGCGCTTGTTTGTCAGGCAGGATGAATATTGAGTGTGAAATTGGGATCAGGAGAGACGCATGCCAGCGCCCGGGCTTATCTTAGCGCCGCAGGCAGACGTGTGGCCGTTATCGGCCTGGCACAGAAACGCCGGCGCTCTCCAGCACTCTCCAAACCGCCACACTGCCTTTGTGTTGGCCTGAAGGAGCCTGTTTACCTCTCGCCGCCTTGATATTCCTATTAGTCCTGTTTCTGTTTACTCTATTTACTCGTTGCCTTTTCTGCCATGGGCGCGCTCTTCCTCGTCTCTCTCATTCTCTCCGTTACTTTGACCTCCTCACACACCACTGGCTGGCTTACTTAGCTTAGTGTTTATGTGAGACACAATTTCAACTCTTTGTCCGTTCATTGGCCTTTACTCCGTCTCTCTCTCTCTCTCTCTCTCTCTCTCTCTTACTTTCTCTTTTTCTAACCTCCTCACACACTCTGACCTGGCTTCCTTGGCATTGTGAGAAAGACAAAATTTTTATCTCATGTCTCATTTCTTTCAGATCATACTGCAATCAAAGCACTTTATTTCATCTGGGTGGAATCAATATTCACTCGTGCCAGTTATCTACATCGCTGTACTTCTCCTCATCAAACACTGAAGTTCAGAAGAGGCTCTGAGGACACTGCGAGGGCAAAAGTAGTGTGTGTGCGTGTGTGTGTGTGTGTGTGTAGTCTCCAGAGAGAGAGAGCGAGAGAGCGCAAAGCGCATGATGCCTCAGGATTGGATCACAATCCTGTGCTTTAAACCTTCTCTTTACAGCCAAAGATCATAATGCACCACAGCCTTTCTTCACAGATAACGAAAGAGAGAGAGGGGGGTAGGCTTTCAAAATGATTTCAAAATGGTCAGTATGTATGTGCAAGTGAATGGTCAAGTCTGATGAAAATTTAGAGCGCACATGATTAGTTTAGCAAGCTTTGCGGGTGACGTAAAAGCAGTAGTAGTCTGTCTTAACCAGACTTATTTCTCCATAAATATCTGCGTTACAAGGCGTGAAGTTCATCAGTAATGTCTGACAGACATGGTTAAGGATACGCTACGACTTCATGAAATCAAGCTAACATAAGCAAGAACCTCATTGAGTGTCTGAAAAATGTTACTTTATATTTGTAGCGATCTTGGACAAGCGGAGTTGAACAATTTTGGACACCCTTAGACCCAAAGGTTGACCCAAAAATTGCACTGAAAAGCTGGAGATGATCCGTTCATCCGATCACCTTCAGGAAAAAAAGTCTGGTCAGGACTGCGGTGAATCCAGAGGATATCCAGGAATTATAATGCCCACATACATTCACCTGGATGAAACCCATGCAGACAGTAACCCATTCTCAGGCTCGAACTATAGGCACCCTGGAGCTGTGAGGCGGTGCCACTCCTTACTGCCCTAGATGATAATATTCTTCTATATTTGTTACCTTAGGTTCATTCAGTCATGGTGAGTTTCTCTGTTTAGTCTTCTAGTCTTCTAATGTTCCGCCTCCTGTTTGTTTACATGTACTGCCTGTCCTAGCACATACCTAGCACATGACGGCTGTGGCGCAGTTGGTAGAGCGGGTTGTCCACTAATCGTAGGGTTGGCGGTTCGATTCCTGACTCCACATGCCGAAGTGTCCTTGGGCAAGACGCTGAACCCCAAGTTGCTCCCAATGGCAAGTTAGTGCCTTGCATGGCAGCTCTGCTACCATTGGTGTGTGTGAATGGGTGAATGAGACACAGTGTAAAGCGCTTTGGATAAAAGCGCTATATAAGTGCACATTTACCATACCTGTTCTCCAGTCACGTTACTATTTTACTAGTCCCTTTGGGTTGTTTATGTTTATTAATTAAAGCTGTTCCTCAAACTGTGCCCATACAGTATGTCCAGCATTCATGACAATGTTAGTCCTGCTATTTTACAAAACTGTTTATTTATTTATTTATTTTTTAATGATACGGTACTCCCTGTCCAGGGTGTACCCCGCCTTGTGCCCGATGCTCCCTGCTATAGGCTCCAGGTTCCCCCGTGACCCTGAAAAGGATTAAGCGGTAGAAGATGGATGGATGGATGGATACGATACAATACTTATTAAGCATTTGGACACTGAAGACACCAGTTGGTTAAATTTAGCAAGTGGATTTTTCCCACATTCACCCATTATGCATTTTCGCTATTTTACAGAGTTTTATATATATATTTGGTGTTTTCAGTTTAGTTGGGTAACACGTTACAACACATACACTGTATCGTTAATGTGTATTCTGTCATTTAGCATGTTTTCCCCCGTTTTTAGTCAACTTTCCCTGGCTAGTCATACAGCTGAATACCTTCGACCTTCAAGTGCAGAATGAAGACCCGCCTTCCAGCAATCACCTAAATGACTACTATTCATCAAAATATATGACTTATTGTCTTATGTGTCTACTTATGCATTAGCATAAGTGCTTCTGTGACTAGCGTGTTGGTATATTTAGACTTGGGTGACCTGCACTAGGCAGTTTTGTTACACACCATCTTGATTTGTTTTCCTAGACAGCCAAGAAGTTGCTCTGCATAAGAGGCTCTAGTAAATGTTGCGAATATAAACGAACACATCATTGAAAAAACAAAGCAAGAAATGTATTGATGCCTTAAAAACCACCTTGCCTGGGTTTCATTATGAAGATTGGCCTGTTTATGCACTTTCAAACTTTTAAAGAATTTTTTGAAGCATATAATTCAGCATACAGGTTTGCTGTTTTCTCATTATCCGCTGTATCGTTGTAACACGCACCTGGTTAATCAGTTTTTTTTTTTTTTTAAATGTGCATATGCTCCCCTTTTTATTAACCTCCAAACTTGCCATTTGGGTAGGCAGATTCTTACAGCGACTCAGTAATGAAAGCATCTAGTCCAATTAGGCGGTTCATCCTGAGCACAGCAGCTTATTAAAACCCACAGCGGTGAAGTTTGCTTGGATGAGTC